ATCCGTGGGTTTTCGATATCTAAAGCTACGATATGTAATATTGTCAACAAGAAAAAAAGAAAAACGTCAGTTTGGCTTCAAGGCGAAAAAATGGTTCCAAATACATAGCAAAGGAAAACACGGAATGTTAATGTTACAAAGGTAAGATCTTTAATATTAAAAAAAATTCCATAAAGTCAAAGGGCAGTTGCAGAATCATTCAAAGGCTTAACGTCAACTGTAAACAAAGTGATTAACGCTGATACAAATCTCAAAAAAGCGAAAAAACATGATAGGCATCGTGTTTCTCCACGGCATGTCACCGAACGCAGAACAAACTGCAGAATTCTTTATTTATCCAGATAAAAATTTATTTGGACCAAAATAGAAAACTGTTTTTACAGTAGATGAATCTTATGTGTATTTAAACAACTGCAATAAAAAGAGATCCATTTATTATCATCAAAGAGGAGAAGCAAATCTTAAAACTTGGTTCAAAGAATCTAAAGTAAGTTTTTCAAAGGGATTAATGATCGCTGCTGGTTTTTGATATGATGGCAAATAGAAAACAAAGAGAGTGCATAAAACTGTTAAGGTCCACTCCACGTATTATCAGAGTCATATTTTATACCCAATTTTTAAATATAAAATACTTGTCTTTACCCACATTGCCATCAATCAACAGAACTGCATCAAGACAAAACAAGCAGCCAAGGGTCAAAATAAACTATTGATTGCCTGGAAACAATGAAAGAAGAAACGGGTATTAAGGCCATGCATTTCACTCACATCCCCTCTAAATCTCCTGATGTCATGGATTTTTGCGCTTTTGAACTTTTAAAAAGTGGATTGTCCAAACGTCAGCCTGCAATCCTCCTTGGACTTTGGAAAGCTGCTCGAGAGGAATGGATAAAATACCTCTTCCGATACTAAAAAAGTCATTACAGTCGTGGAAATTACAGTGTAGAAAGATAGTAAATAATAAGGGTTATCAAACAGAACATTTAAAACACAAAACTTTTGCGTTAAATATTTCTGTAAATACAAAGAAAGTCGTCTAAAAAATGTGTCAACAGCCTTTGTATGAAATAGGGATGTAACTGAACTTTAAATTTGCATTAGCCATGTGGGTAAAAAATACACCACAAATTCTAAAAACTTTGTGAAGCAATTGATGTTATATAGTTTTATCACTTGAACTTTGCCTATATAATGAAATTCTAGGAAGAAACACAGATATATAAAGTCCCTACAATATGCACGTTATAAGCACTCACATACAGTATATGCATATGCATGTCATTACTTATAAATCAACATTACAATAATTAAATTTTAATGATCTCTAAAGAAATGCCGAGTCAGCAGAATGTAAGGCAAAAGTCATTTAAGCAAAAATGATTCTTAAATAAACAGAAGATAATAAATAGCAATTAAAATCGAACTGAAAAATTTGCATCAGGGAAAATAAATGAAGTATGCCGCTGTAATTAAGATTTAAATTAATTACTCATTAATAAATTAGGATAAATTTAATTGCGCTTATTGAAATTATTATTAATAAAATCGAATATATTTTTTATATTATATATGTATTCATATTCGTAATCGTAAAAATGAGACAATTTTTTTAGATTTGGCTTTGTTTGAGAATTTATTTAATAAAAGTTTATGAGAATTCTTTCTAACGTCTTCAGATTTAGATAACTGAATAATGTTTTTGAAAATTCCTCCTTCAAAGTCTCGGTGCTTGACCTACTGATTTTTCTTCCTTTCACTATACTGAATTCAGGCCCCAAAAAAAGCATCTATATAATGAGATGACAGTCACCTACTGACCCTCCTTCACATCGGAATTTGTGCCGAAGTTCAAACTGGCATCACCGAGTGACCTTTCTGATATTTTGTTCAAAACCCACTGCTTTCTTCTGTGTTTTTTTTTTTGGAGGGGGGGCTGAAACAAATTACATAAACAAAAATTGTAAAAGAAAAATTAAAGTGTCTGACATTCCGATGCTTCACTGTGAATGAAACGGGGTCACAAAATATACGTTCGGAACCGGTACGGTTTTATACATTTTTCCTTTTCAAAACAGAACTCAATGCATACAGATGAAAAAAACTAACTTTTCATCTTATGAAATATGGCAGCTTTTTTTTTTGCAAAGTAATCACTACGACATTTTAATTTCTTTCCCCTAGAAAATAATCTCCAGTTAAAATTAAATGTCTTTCTTGTAAAGGTTACTTGCAACGTTACTTAAGTTTTTTCTTTACTGAAAAGTATTTGAGTTTTTTTTACTTATTGTTTCCAAATTATTAAAAAAGTAAATCAAACGTAAATTAATAAATTGAGTATGTATAGTTAGTCTAGTGAAGTGGTTTCTGAACTTATGGCCCGAGCTGCACTTCTATGTGGAAGTAACAGTTTTAAACATTAAGGTGCCTAATTTAAATTGTAAAATATTGCAGTTTAATGTGACGTTTAGATTTTATCGGGACATTTGGTTTAAAAGTTTCGCAAAGTCTGGGATAAGTGTTCTTTAATTTTTCTGCTACAATTCTGTAAGGATAATTTGTCTGGTACTATTCGAAAGGCACATGACCACTTCAACTTAGCAATATATAAAAAAAGCCTATTTTTTCGGAAATGTACGCTGTTTGTTTTGTGGTGTTACATTGTTTTTTCTTATTACTGTGAATTTCTAAATCGTTTGAAGAATCTTACTTTTTTTACTTTGTTTAAACACTAGATCTCATGTTTTCTATTCTAAATTTCAAGGAATATTTATGATAATTTCAAGAATAATACACCTATTTAAATTGAAGCTATTTGTAAAACTACACTTGCATTTGAGATTTAAGAAACTATCTCTTTTTATTGCTGATTTGAGACATTATCAATTTATTTAAAACTGATAAATGTGCAAATACATCTAAAGTGTAACTACATACGCTTAGCTATATATGCAACATTTTAAATTGATTAGTAGGGTTTTGTCATTTTCTGATCTCTGAGCTGCAAAATAAACTTATTATATAACTTTTCCCTAAAGATAAGCTAAATACATTGTTGCTTAAAATTTCAGTTTTAATATTGCATTCTATAGATGTATTTTTATTACTTGAAATCTTGAGATTACGAGGTGGTGTCTATATTACATATGCAGACCTAGTATACGATGGTAAGATTGTATACCTTTTGAACAGTCTTTAATCACATTTTTTCCTGAATAACTGGAACACAAACCTCACGTTTAACAGTTAACAAAAATAAACAGTTCTACAATACGTATGTATTATTTCTTCTTATGTTACATTATACTCTACTGTTCAAGAAAATTAATTCTATTTTCGAGGAATAAAATAGAAAGTGAGAGATTTTAATATGCTTTTATTATCAACGAACATTAAAACTCGTGAAACCGGTTCTCACAAAATCTTTCGTAAGAATTTTATAGGTTAAGGAAACTGTTTTTGTTGTAAAAAAAGTCATATAAACAAGCTCAGTCTTTTACGTTATTTATCAGGTTTATAGGAATATAGGGCAGTAATATTAAGTCTTATATTATTCTGTGTGCATGAAAATATTTTTAACTCTTCCTTTATGGGTCTTATTCTTTCTGTCAGAGGAAGAAAAGTACGAGTAGATTTCACCATTAGAAATGCGTCGATAAGCAATGAAACAATAAATAAAATTTAAACGATCTGTGTTGAAGGAAAATTCAGCAAAGCCACGATCACGTTAAAGATGGAAACGAAGAAAGTTCATACTGGGAGGTTTCTCTGCACTTACCTCGGTCGTTCTCTGTCATTGCATTGAAATTATGCAATTTTGAAGAGCTTGCGTGCGTCGATTTCTTCACCACATAATCGAAATAACACTCCGAAAAGGACACATTCCATTGCTTTATTCAAACGTGTATGACGGATATTTTTAAACCAATATAATAATTTCAGAAACAAAATGTGTACTCTACATACATACAAGTTACATACATTGCAAAACATTGTATCTCTATAATTAAAACTTTAAGCTTTTTCTTTATATATTTTTATGGCGCGTTTTTTTAATTTCTCATGTCTATGTGAGTAGATAGCCAAGAAAGATCATTCTCACCTTTACAACAAGAAATTCGAACTCAGTTCCTCATCATCTGAAAACCTGTACTCTTTAATTTCAAATTTAGTAGCTAATCTCTTTTGATACGTAATGCAGTAAACGCTGATCTCTCTTGATTAAACGCAATTCATGTTTACGCTTATGTAACAGGTAAAAGACGTAAACACATTGTGAACATGAATAGCATATAGGGCTAAATACGGTATCCCATGCTACTTTTTCAGAAGTTATAGCTGGATATTTTCCATGGCTTCTTCAATGTTAACTATTAATTATGCTAGAATTCGAGATTCTTATAGTGAATATTTTTAATATTCTTCTGCATAAGAAAGTGATTGGTTTAGTGAAGCTTAGAGATCTATATAGTTATAAACGATGGCCGATGACACGTTGCTGTATTATATTGTGTGGACGGTTTCATATATTTTCTCAAGAGCACAATGAACCGCACTAAAAGCGTCTTACCGCATTGCACATTAATGGTAAACTTCAACAAAGAGGGCCAATAATTCTTCTTACTGTCTCACTTCGCATCTTCTATTACTGCAACATCATTTGTGAAACAGGCAGGAATTTCTGAGCTTTGAATCTGGCTATTTTGACTCTAATGTATTCATCCAAATGTAATATCTTGTCGATACAATTAATGCGGCAATGACTACACGATTCCGTAGAGATTTAATTGTAACACTAATCAACGAGATTGTATTTTATACTGGGAAAGTTTGTATTTATTTGAACCTCATTATGCCTTCACAGGAATTTTATTTTTGTTTCACGAATTATCATAGTGACCGGGGCTAATATTAAAAAAACAAATGCTCATTAAGTTCCTATTGTGTAAGAAAGCTTATGGTAAAAATTCAAAAGATTAATTCTCTTTTTTTCTCATTTTCAGGCTTCCACGTAACTCCAAAGATATCCCTAATATGTCCGGAAAGTTGTCTTCTTATAGTGGTTGGAGTGATCATTGGTCTTCTCCTCTTCTACGCCGGCCTGACAAACGTGGGTCCCCTGACTCCGAATGTATTTTTCTTGTACATGTTGCCTCCCATCGTTCTAGATGCAGGTTACTTCATGCCGAACAGGCCCTTTTTCGACAACCTGGTCACCATTCTGATGTTCGCCGTCGTTGGCACAGTCTTCAATGCCATGTCAGTTGGCATGTCCCTGTGGGCTGTCGGACTTACTGGTCTCTATGGCGTTGAAATGCCTTTGTTGGATACACTGCTCTTCAGTTCAATAGCTTGTGCGGTCGATCCCATCGCCGTGCTTGCCGTCTTCGAAGAGATCCACGTCAATGAGGTGCTCTACATCCTCGTGTTCGGAGAGTCTCTGCTAAATGATGCCGTCACTGTGGTGCGTTTTTAACAACTTTTCAGTCCTTTCCCCATTGATCCTTACGTTTGTTACTATTAATGCTTTCATTTAATTAATGCTTCACCGACATGATGCATAACCAGCACCAAATATTCCGAATACACTATTTGGCCAGAGGTGATAGTCATGCTGCAAATATGTGAAATGGGTCAAATACTTGATATCTTACTTCTGTAAAATTTTTTTCTGTGTTTATTAATAATATAGAGAAGTGTGTGTTTATTAATGGATCAGTTGTGCTTTATTACGCGAAAATAAGATATAAATACATTCTCTCTATGTTTAAAATACTTAGCTTAAAATCATCACTTCAAATTTTCATCACTGAAGAAAGAAGCGAATAAAAAGCGATGGCACAGGAAATCGGTCACTCAGCCCTAACTATCCGCCATCTTTAATACGATCTTTTAATTTGTTATAATCTGTTGTATCACATCTGCGTACCATAGTGAGCTAATAACACTATTTTGGTGCTCATGAGTGGGAACTTATTTATAAAATATTTATTGTTCATATAGAAATTTCGTTGTTATTTATGAATATCCTATTTTAGTCATACTTGCGTCTTTAGATAAATACAGTCAGCATTTAAAATATTTGAATTTCGGATTCTTTTTTATTCAGCTACATCAAAAGTATGAATTTCTTCTGGGAAAGAGCCCAGTATTTTTCCGCTTTTATATTTGAGTTGAGACTAATATTGCATTCAATTTATTCAACGCATGCAATATGCATTGAAATGCATTGAGAAGGATGTTCTAATAATTCTTTTGTGAAATGGATAATAAAATAAATAATAATTTTATATTAAGAAAAAAGAATTAATCGTAACATCTATTTTAATAATATTATGAAAATGTTTTATTCCATGTCTTCTTTCCTAATTTTCAGTTTCGACAGAACTACACAAATGTTTTGTTGAGACGTACGAATCAAAACACATTACGCTTTAAAAATGTTCCTCTGTTGGAAAGATTAAACAGTGAAATATTTTATTCATTTCATTTTAATTTAAAATTTAAGAAATGTTCCGGCATACTCCTAGAGTTTAATGAAACATCCAAAGTGACACGAGTAATAACTTCCCTAAGTAGCTAACTAAATTTCCCTTTTCCGTTTCTTGTCACAGTGTTTGTTCCGCCGTCAATCATGACGCAAACTGAAAAGTGTACATTTTTGTGACATCTGCTAGTTATTTTGGAGAACAGTGACTAAGCAAAACGTCTTGAGTTAACTTAAAGAATTTATAATAAAATTATATTTTTCATATGCAGCTAAACCTCAGTAAGTCAGCAAGTCATGGTAAAGCGATTTATATCGAATTATCGAGGTGCATAGTAACTAAAATAAACTCTAACAATTTAATTTAGATTTTGAAAGAATATAGAAGTAAAACTTCTCGTTATTTCTTATTTTAATGCAATTCAAACAATTTCATAAACTTCCTTATAATAAATAATTCAGTAAATCGATGTTTACTGCCGTGGAACTTATTTACAGTAAAGATATATTTAAAAACATTCTCGACTTCAGTTCATTTTTGTCTTTCTATCTCGTACAAACTTTTCTCAATATGTCTGAAGTATTTCGAAATTGCTTCCGCACGAGACTGCGTCTCGAAGAAATCGATAAATTTTATTCATGTCTTGAAAGATTCCTTTTGGGTCAGACTGTTAAGATCTTTTCTGAACTTTTTTTGTTCTTCATCAAGAATATTTGCACATTTAGTAGGATGTACCACATTTAAAATTTCTTCTTCGTCCGTTGTTACTACAATAACTACATCATTATTAGTTATTGCTTATAAACCGAATCTCTATTTGGTAAATTAATGCTGATTATTCGTACATGTTGGACAATGCTGTGTAGAAGAGACAGTTTACAAAGGAAGGGAATTTGTGGCAACTTGAAAACGCATTCTTTTCTTGATGTCTAGTTAGCGATGTCGTTGTTTGTAGCATAGAGTAAACAAAATAGCATAGAAAGAGAGTATGCCCTGATAAATTTTGCTTGAGCTATTATAATACACAGAATAAATTACTAAAAGGAATACCAATGCTTAAAAATTAAACCAAATTCAACCTTAGACTATGTTCTGCTGTTTTCTTAGGAATCTGACATTTGTTTCTCTTCTCCAAGGAATAAAAACTTCCTATGCCATTGTTCGGAAATCTCAATTAAATGAAATAAAAACAAAAAAATACTAAAAAGAAAGTAAATAAAAAAAATACAATTGTAAACAGATCAATTGAATAGCATAGAAAGAGAGAAAAATTCTTGAAATCCTCACTTGCTTTGTCATAGTTTTGCTAACACCAGAGACTACATGAGACTACATATTTTTTCTCCCAAATTGTGGGCGCAACTAAACGGAGATTTAAAAGTGTATCTTACACCAATTTTAAGTACGTGTCCAAATGCCATTTCCGTCAGCTCAAGTTTCTAAAATGTTTTAGGTAACTACGCAAATGGATTTATGTTTTAATAAATACGTATGCAACCCGTAAGTATGTAATGAAAAAAAAAAGGGGCGCAGTTTAACATCTCCCGTTCTACTGGGCCGATTGACGAAATTTAACTTGCTTTTGTCACTTCTCGGAAGAGCGACTTAAGATATTAGGTTCATATATAGCATTGCTCTAACATAGGTATTTTGACACAAAATTGAAATTTTTCTCAAACGACATATCATTTTTTCCCTATTTCGATTTTACTAAAACTATGCCCAAATATTTAATTTTGTAAACCTTGGTGAGAAAGTTACGCAGAAAGTTAAAATTTATCTTGGCGCACTTTTTTCAGTTTGCGCCAAGAATAAATCACTTGGCGAAATTCTTGATTTATAGTGACCTATTTTATTTTCCCTTTTTTATTCTACAAGGGAGGAAAAAAGGCGCCTTTTTCATTCTTTTAAATAATTTTAACAAAAGAAGGTGTTATTATCGCTTATAAGAAAACATTTGATGTTATTATCGATTATAAGAAACATGCCTAATTTCAATACCTAAATTCACGTATGTCTTTGGAAATTTTGAATAAAAAAAACTCTAATTCTTTGCAGGTATGCTAGATTTATTGTTGCAGGTATCTACTTTATGATGAAGGTAAAAATTTTATAGGTTAATTCAAAAGTTTTTTTTTTTTTTCTTTTCCAAAACAATTATCAGAATTGCTAAAAATGGATTGAACGTAAATTTCGAATTGTGAAAGAAGGAATCAAGTAAGAATACAATATATTAATAATATAAAGTGATATTAATAAATGTATACCAAATTCACTTACTATTGAGGAGCTGAAATTTTGCAAGCTAATTTTTAAAAACTGCTCCTGCGATTCTTACAAACTTTTGGCATAATTTAAGTCGTAGAACCGAAATATGGGAAAAGGCTGATATGTCATTTCAGAAAAGGTCCGATTTTGTGTCAGAATACCTATATTAGAACAATGCTATATATAAATCTAATACATATTCTAAAGTTCGGTTTCGAAACATGAAAAACGCGAGTCAGATTTCGTCAATTATCCGAGTAAAACGAATCCATTTTTTTTTTTTTTTTTTTTTTTTTTTTTTTTTTTTTTTTTTTTTTGTGCGTGATGTACATACGTAACTCTTAATATTCATTAAAATGTTCGCGTTACTAGCCTCATAATAAAAGTTAGTTTAACTATTACAAACTTAATTTCATGTTTCTAAATGGATTTTTCTCTTGCAGGTTCTTTACCACATGTTTGAGGGCTATGCTGAGATGGGTCCCAAGAACATTATAACCGTGGATTACTTAGCAGGTGTGGCTTCTTTCTTTGTGGTAGCCGTGGGCGGCACTATTGTGGGCATCTTGTGGGGTCTACTGGCAGCGTTTGTGTCCAGATTCACGCATCACGTACGAGTCATCGAGCCACTTTTTGTATTCGTCATGTCCTATCTGTCCTATGTCAGTGCAGAACTTTTCCATTTTTCTGGAATTTTGGCGTAAGTAACGTATGTTCAGTAGTAAAGCTGATATTAGGTATAAAACGAATTGAAACTCGTAGTTTATTACATTAAAACGAGATTAAACACGTGTTCACAGAGATGTTTTTCCTACAGTTATAGCGTGCAATATTGTTAAAAAAAAAAGATGCATATTTCTTTTCTTAAAAATACTGCAGGTTCGTTTCGCACCTACAACAAGCCCTTGCCGGACTTGCGGAACGCAATTTTGCGTATATAGGTTATCTTAATAGTATCTATTTAATTTTTCCAACGGAAGAATTTTGTCGGTCGCGTTCGATAATATTCTAAATTCATCCATTAAAGAAGTCGAACAGTACGTAGAACCGAAAAACCTGAGCTTTAAAGTTCTTTAATTCCTTTTAATGCTCCAGAACACGGTTCTGAATCCCTAGCAACATTGTATTCAAATGTACAGGCTTTATTCCTTCCGCCGAACACCACCTTTTTAATCAATGGATCAAGGTATCATAAAAGCATTCAAATCCCATTATGTCAAGCGTGTTTACATTACTGAAAATAAAGCACTGGACGAAGAAATACACGACACATTAATGGCATTTTGGAAGCAATTCAGCATAAGACACTGCATAGAAAGGATTAAACTTACATGGGAACACGTGAATTCATCAACAACCAAAGCTTGCTGGCATCAGCGCTGGCCAGACGTTGTCTGCGATTTTAAAGGATTTCTGTCGACTGATTGTGAAGCCAAGGAAGTCGTATAAATAAAAGTAATTGGCGTCGCAGGATTTTCAGACATGGAAGAAAAACATTTTAAAGAATTAATCGAAAAATGAAGATCGTGAAATAACAAACGAAAACCTGGATGATCTTATAACACCAGTCAACGGTGAAAGCAACGATAATGAAGACGATATAGAGCTTTTAAAGTACAAACTGTTAAATGAATTTTTAAGTCAGAAACTATCTGATTTTATAATGGCTATTTAAAAAACGCGGATCGTTTTGTGGGTTGCGTCAAACGTTGTCTCAAGCAAAAACCATTAACTATTAAAACAATAACTGTATTGTACATCTACTTAAGCAGTAAAAGAAATCCTTTCAATTAATATTTGTGTCATTCCTCCCTTTTAATAACAATAATATTTAAGTTTGTTATATTATACATACTTTCTTAATCTGGCCTGTACCTAAACTGTTTATTCCATAGAAAGTTAACTTTACGATTTTGCAGTACTCGCAATGCCGTTCGGCGGTAAATGCCGTTCGGCAAGGGTTTACTGTACTTATATCGAAGAATTTTAGCTGAAACTTATCTTGGTAAATTATGAGAGGATTGAACATCTCGCTGCTTATATATTTCATAATAGAATGATAATTAATAAAGTAGAATTATGATTTTTATTCTCATTTGATTTGATTTGAGAAATAAAATTGGGATGTTATTCATTTATTATCGCAGATTTTTGCGAAATTCAAACCAAGCCGAGTGAACTTTTAATGTCAAATCAGACGCGCCTTTGGTCAAGGCAAAAGTAAACGTAAATATTCTTAGATTAAACATTTTCAAATACCCTAAATAAGGCTTATTTTTTGCAAAAGTTATATTACCTATGTTAAAAATTAATTCTTTGTGAAAGATTATAGTCTGTTTCTTTGAATTTCAGATTTTCATAGAATCTTATTTTCTTCCTTGTCGCATTTTTAGCACTTTCTCCTCAAATCCTAAGCAAAGGAGCATTCTGGATTCGTATGTTTTTGTCCTTCCCGGTTAATAGAAATCTCAAGCTACCGATTTAGATCTATAATCTTGTTTCTTTTTTCAGCCGTCGTTTCCCAAACTATTTGGTATAATATTTCTGTAACTGTTAATTCTCATTCTGGCATGATCATAGGAAACAATCGACGAAGAAAATACAAAACGAAGAAAAATCTTTAACTTGGGCAGTCTTTTCTAGGATTAATAATTAATAGCAACAACAATGATATTATTAATAATAATAATAGCTCAGCTTAATTTGAAACATATTCGAAAACGAGTTTAAGTTTCTTTCATTTGCAAGTCTCCAATATCTCTAATGCTTGTTCTCAATAGTATGGGAGCCATCTGATAGAGGCAAAGAACGATAGAATCGGATTTCGTTTAGAATAATTAATAAAAAATGCGTCCGTCTGTTGCGAAAATCAATCACTGTTTGAATATCATAAGGATAGTTAAGTAATCAAGGATCTTACCCCCCCCCCCCAACATATACCATACACACACAAAAAAAAGCAGTTAAAATCTGAAACTTTCAGATTTCAAATTTGATATTAACAATTAATTTCGGTATTAAGGCTTGTTTGGTACAAACTAAAGCACCCCATATCAAAGTGTATATCAAAAATTAGAAAATCATTAGAAATATCAAAAATTACAAAATTATTCTAGATTATTAATTTTAGAAATTTCTACAAAAATCTTAATTGTATCAGGATTGTGGCTCAATTAATAATTTTTCTTCATTTCATGTTTAAAGGTCTTCCGTATTTAATTTTCAATGTTAAAAATGTAAAAGAGAATTTGCTAGGATTTAAAAATTGTTCATCTAACAAAATTTTAACTTTTAGTTGCAAAGTTGTTATTTGCTCCAATTCTTGATTTCTTTCTACTCGCCAGACAAGGCAATGGCATGAACAGTGTAATATTATTTTTACTAATTATTATTTCTTTTTTCAGTCTCACATTTTGTGGTATCACCATGAAAAATTACGTAGAAGAAAACATTTCATACAAGAGTCATGTGACTGTAAAATATGCGATGAAAATGTTGGCAAGTTCTTCCGAAACGATCATCTTTCTCTTCCTAGGGGTGTCCACAGTGAACGACAACCATGAATGGAACACATGGTTCGTAGTCATGACTATCTTCTTCTGCACGTTGTACAGAACTATTGGTAAGTCACGAAGAAGTATTCGTTGTTTTTATAATTCTTCTGAAATATTCGAAGTTAATATAATTTCTACATGGTTCCTCTTTCAAATTAAAAGCATTTAAAATTTCCATTAATTATTCATTATTTGAGAGCTTCATAGATTGTGTGATCTCCCAGAAATAATTTTTCAGACGACCAATTAAACGTTTTCCCCATAAGATTGCAGATTTCGACATAATCGGTGTTAATATCGATATATTTGTTTCAGAAAATAGATCCATTTTTCGTAACAATCAGGACCACGATAGTCCTACGATTCTGAGCTTTGGGAATCAGTGTGGTTTAAGTAAGATTTCTAAAAACAACTTTTCTGGAAAACAAAGATTCCTATGCATGGAGGAAAGCTACAGAATGCGAGATGACATCATTAACGCAAGTCCAGTAATTTTTGTAATTCTAATAGTGGATGCATCATTAGGCTAACTATGTCGACACTAGTAATGATTATGTTGAACAAATAAGTTTCCGAAAGAAACAAAAAGCAAGTATCTGAACTATTTATAACTATTTATATAACTAAGAGGAATTCCTGTCCGTGCTACTAGTAAGATTTAAAATTGTCCTTAAATTTAACTCGCGTAAAAGAGATTCTACCTAATCAATTATTGCAAAGAAAGTACGTCTGCATATTCTGACTCTAATTCTAATTCCTAACTGTTATACACACAATAGCATGATGTAATATAAATTCTTCAAATGAAGAACATCATCTAGTGGCATATATGACCGTGTTCTTCGCGTGATTCAACAAGCAGGCAATGATCTGTAGAATGATTCTTCGATTAAACTTCCATAATAACCAAAATATTTTCAGTTGTGTTTTGCATAGATTTTTATATGGCCTGTTCGACAAAGAATGGGTTGTGCAACTTTTTTGCATAAAGGATCGTTTGAACGTCTCTCGTGAAACGCGGTTAAAAGCTGCCGTGAATATTTAAAATCAAACGCATTGGGAATAATCAGAAAAATTAAACATAAAAATGTGTACCCGTCTAATATTAATTTTCTTATTATCCAATACTTATTTTTGTTTAAATTACTCAAACCAAATTACTGCGATATGAGATATTCGGCAAACTGGATTGTGGCCCATAGGCTGAACATTAGAAACGTTGTAGAAATTCTATAGGACTAGCAGGAATTTAGCCATCCTGCTCGAAACTCTGATCTAATAACTAAGCAAAAGTTCAACTAACAAAGCATTCTAACAACCAAGCAAACAAAGAAGCCAAACACCTCAAAGTGTTTTTGTTAAAACATATGCATAATAAAATAAACTGTAAGTAGAAAACTTATCAGGACTTGTATTCCTTTTTATCTGTTTCGGGAACATGATGTGTCCTGAATGGGAACAGGGAGCTTACTCAAGCTATGTTCAAAATAGATGTGGAATGGACAACACAAGCAAGAAGAGTTGACTTTACCCTTTATTCTCTATAAGATTACAGGTGCTCCCGCACTTCGGGATACAGAGACCAACCACTTGTGGTCTGAACGTAAAAATATAAAACTACTAACTAAAATTTTAAGTAAGAGCTGACTGTGAATAGTTTACAAACTACCTAAGACTGGCCTTTTAAAATATTACGTATGTAGTTCGCAAACTGCCGAAAGTACAATAAGTTTTAAATATCTAGAGGACTAAACCTCTGGCCTTGAAGACGGGGTCAGCTGATTGAAAACTCGCGTGTAAAGTAGTGGCAAGACGGCTCACCTTCCCTGTCTTTCTAACTCTTGGCAAAAAGCCACAACTTAAATACTTGGGCGTTAGCAAGTACAATTTGCATAAAAGTTAACACATTGAATTCTCGCTGGAAGTGGAAAATAAGAAGTGAGAAGTGATAGTACAGTTTTAAAATAAAATAAACGTTAGTAAAACTTAATATCCTTACAAACTGACTTTCCGCTAGTATATTTAATATTATGCATGGTTAAATCATTGGAAATTTGGAAATTTGACAGAAAATATGTGAAAGTTCGAATGCAATGAACGACTGAAGCATCTCTAAATTATAAACATTGTTATTGTAAATTATAAGCATTGTTGCGATGTCAGTTGAATATAAGCATTTACATAAACTATTAATTGAAGAGCTTCAAACAAACTCCTCTTACATATACTAGATATTTTAGATTATTCTTTTAACAACTTCAGCAGCCTTAATTTAACGGCGGGAGATTTTTTTAAATCTTTCGCAAGAACTCTGATTCAGTTGAATCTTACTTTTGAACAAACTGTTTCTATTTTGCTATTGATGTGTTAAAATGTTTCTGTGCTCTAAAAAATAAAATAATTTGACAACTTTTGGTAAAGATAAACTAATATATTATCTTCATATGTACAAAATAAATATTTTTATTGTAGGTGTTGTGATTTTAACTGCTATAGCGAACAGGTTCCGGTTGCATCGGATTAATAAAGTGGAACAGTTTATCCTAGCCTACGGAGGTCTCAGGGGTGCTGTAGCATTTGCTTTGGTGCTAATTGTCTCGGACCGCATCATTCCTACCAAGAACATGATGGTTACGACTATCATTGCCCTTGTATTTTTCACCGTCTTCATTCAGGTAATTACAGATAAGCTGCTTATTGTCATCATTCTGTAACGTTATTCAAATAACGCATGCTAAAGTAGTAATCATGCAATATGTACAGTTTCCATTGTTCCAAATTGATATTTCCGATTCGTTCTTGGTTTAGGGGATTAGGGGAATATATCCCTCAAATATTAAAATTTTACTTGATTTTTCTCGGATGGTTTCTAGCTGAGAGAGAAGCTATGTTACATTACCTTCTGAAAAGAAAGCATCACCGTTAGGAAAAGTCTTTATAAAAGTTGTAACTCTCTGTAATGTTATGTGTGCAGCTTAATGACAAAGGACTGCATGGCTATGAGGATTCTATGGGAACTGTTCTGAAAAACTGCTCAGCAAATCGTAGGTAATGAAAGCAAATGGAATCATTACTCGAAATTTACAGGATGGATTCATGGCTTTATGTTGTCTACATCACACTTGCACTTTTCTACATTCATGATCGTGTGGAAAGCATAATTGACTGAAATAGAAGATATGTTTTTATTTCTTCACATTCCATTTGTAAGTGGCTTTTGCATTCTGGGGAGAGGAGTGGGTTGTTTAGCTTCTTGCGGTAGGTAAGGGAACAGGATGTTAACTTCGGTGCAGCCTGCATTATTAAGTTATGACTAAACGCCTTTTCTGTATAGCCTAGTAGAATAGATACATCTGAATTCCAAAATGTCTCTTTTTAGGTTGCTTTCATGGTCCATTTTTCTCTTGAATGGAAGTTTTATGAGTATTTATAATAAGAATATGCAATGATTTGAAGGGAATTGCAAACATTCAGTGTTTCAGAAGATAAAACTGTTAGATTATACCAATTTACTCGTCATCAAGCAAGCCCTATATATGCTGCAATGTTTGCTCATGATTAATTCTTGTTATTATTTTCGAATGCCTAGGATTTAATTAAAAAAACATGTTCTCCTCAAGAACACGAAATCTCATGCAAAGAAGCTAAAAGAAACTAATTGACTACATTACCCACTATAATCCATAAATGAAGTTCTTGGAAATAACAGAGACTTAATATTATCACGATTATCTTGTTTGTTTCGAGAAAAGTTTCATTTCTTTTAGCTTTTTACCGTGTAACCAAAAAACATTAAATCTATTAAATACATAATAGCTTTTCTGTCAGTGTTTATGAGCGACATGTGCAATGCTTTCGCCGGTATTCGAACTCCTGATCTCCGATTACTCGTCGGACGTTTTATCCAGTTACACCACGATTAAGTAGGTAGAAAAAACCTTATATTTTCCCTCTTTTAATGGGGAACTAGGAATGAGGAAACCCAACCGCCAATCCTGGTTCTGACGAATTATCATTCAACACCTTTTAGTTCGAACGTACTTGTAAAATTATTGCGCTTTTTTTTTTCTTTTTTTAAGGAGACATGAGAAATTTGCACTCGTCGGTATCGATTACGCGTCGGACGTGCTTTCCAGTTACACCATAAAGACACGAGGTAAGGAGGGAGAAAATGTCATATACGTTTATAAATTATTTTTCAAAGTTAAAGACTATGCCTTCATCTGTGATAATGTAGTAGCTTTTTAAATAAATATTTTATCTTTTTGTATCACTAAAAGCAGTGGTGTCCACCTGGTGTTTCGCCGGCACTAGGTAACTCGCAATCCTGTCTCTAAGTGCCAGCCAGCCGCAATCACAATATCGCCATCAGACAAGACTTTACTGTAAACTTGACGTAAAAAACAAACCATAAAAACGATACAATTACACCTCACATACAGAAGCGTTGCATTTGTGTTCACCTACTCGAAATCAATGAAATCTCTAAAAGCTCGACACAGCAGCCTTTTTACTGTCAAAAATGAAGCAAAAAATCGCATAGAAGCATCCTTTAAAGTAAGTTACATTCTTATATCGCATAAAAAGGAACCGTTGTGAAAGAAGCTATGCTAGCAATGTCAGAGTCTTTATTTCACGAATTTAAAAATTAAAAAGGAAATAATCTCAGCTGTGAAAGATGTGCCTTTGTCACAAAACACGGTGGCTCAAAGAATAAACGACATGGCGAATGATATCTACGTACAGGTAACATCATTTTTGAAAAAATATGCTGTTTTTTCTTGTAGTGTGATGAATCCACTAATGTTACTCACTGACCACAATTTCAGAAGTTCACGAGAATTGCGTTTCCTCACTTCTCTGTGAAAGAAGCATTGTTGGCCATGCTGAGTTTGTCAAAACACACTTGAGGACAAAACATATATGTCGCAGTTAAAAAAATGTATTGCTGAAGAGAATTACCCAATAAAATAATTCGTTGCAATCACAACCGATGGTGTATCGGCTATGATTGAGAATAATTCTGGGCTTATTGTTTTTGTAAGCAGGATGACACATTTCTCAAATTTAGTTCATACAACTGCGTCATTCAACAAGAAAGTCTGGCCGTTAAAAAGCTCAATCTTAGAAGTAAGCAGGCTGAGTAGAAGAAAAGTTTTAACAAGATTTGTTAGAATACCATCCGAAATTAAAACCTGTTTATAGCCGATGAGAACTGTGACTAAAATTTGGACGGCATGGAGCGGCTTGCTGACTTGGCAATGGTATGACCTAGCAGTGGAATTTTTAATTGATATCAATGCAAAACTCACTGACCTAAATACCACGCTGCAAGCAAAAGTAAAACATATATTGGAATGATGAGCTCAGTATCTGATCTGCTGGCTAAAATCGATTTATGGAAGAATAGCTTATCTAAGAAAGACAATGAACACTTTTCGTCATTTGCCCTCATTCTAGACCCGGAACTTATTCTAGAGTATGATCCGTCTAAGCATCCGAAAAATTTCTGTAACTTAGCTCAGGATTTAAAAGAAGATTCCAAGACATGTTTTCTATAGACCCCATTTTTTTATTCACAAAAAATCATTTTTTGGAATTAGACATAAGAGAAATGATTTCTTAAATGAAAAAAGCTTGTTTTACTAACAAATCTGGGGCTTAATTAGATATCATTACTCTTCATACTGATATAACATACAAACACACAGAAAATAAAAGGGATGAATGTTTTAAACTAATGGACCCTATTAAATATAAAAACATACTTTAGGTGTGCACTAACAGTAAAAACAATTTTTGGGTGAACATAGCTCTGTGAGCAGGCTTCTTCACAAATTAAAATTATAAAAAGCAAGTGGAGAAATAGACTGTAGTACATGTGAAAACCAACATGTTGTGCATCAGAATATATGCCGAATTTTAATAAGTTCTCATAGACTACTAATAATCAAATATCTCATTAACAGAAAGTTAATAACTTAATGTAATACTCACTTTATGAGATATTTGACAATTTATCAATTTAACAGTTTCATTTTCTTGTATTAATTTTTTAATATGTGAATGATAAGATAATATATAAATCATCGTAATGTTTCTTTTCAATTACAAATCCTGTAATCAATGCAAATAATAAGTGTCCACGATTATATTTTTAAATTAAGCTTAACTTTTAAATTTTGCAACAACCATAATGACATTTCCGAACATTTTTTTCAGGGAATGACCATTGGTCCACTCGTAAGAATTTTAAATGTTCCAACAATGAACAAAGTCAAAATGTCTATGAATGAAAGAATTATTACAAGGGTGAGTAATATTTCCTCATTTACAGCTTTTTAGTGCTCTTTATTTAAATTCTGTATAATATTCGTAAACTTCTATACGCGCAATATGAGCCTAAAATTTCATTGCTAAAAATCTGCATGTCTCGATGCATTTATAGGCAACTATAGGTCCTAGATTATGTATTTCAATTGAATACACACAGGAAAGAGAAAATATATATTATTAAAGAAAATCCTTATTTCACTGAAAAAATTCAATACGATCAGACGATCTGTCAAATACCACATCAGATAACCTATGCGAGTTAGTTTTTGTTTTAATGGTGTGCAGAAGAATAGCTATCTTTGTTTAGTGCCTTAGATACTGAACCATAAATCATAAGGTTTATGATGAGTTTGTGGGAATTTACCGATCGCTTTATATTTTTAGGACAAAGAAATTAATTTATTTAAATAACTTTTATCAATATGTGAATTTTTCAGTAAATTCCTAATGAATGATTAAAGTAGCATCATAATATGTAACTTCAATTCACATCTTTTCTGATAGTCAATGGACCATCTGATGGCTGCAATCGAAGATATTGTTGGACAAACTATGGGGAATTATCATCTTCGAGACAAGTGAGTAAAGCATTGATGCGTGGTTGCTTTGCATAGCAGTATTTTAATCTTTAAATTCTCTAAAGCCTTAATATGGATGTCCATTAAATATTCTTCTTCTTTTAAGTATCTTATTGTTTTCTAATATGAATTACTGCTTAACTAATATAATATAGATATTTGTCTGTACAATAAGAATTACGCCTTATATAGTTTTCTTTGTGTGCTTATAATTACATCAACGCATAAATTGTGTTTTCAGATAACGAAAGGGTTATGCATTATTGAGATATATTAATTTGATGGAATAACTATTTTCCTTTTTTTTCATGGTTTTATAAAAAATCGTACTTAAAATAAACATTGCAAATAAGGAGAAGAGAAAACATATTTATTTTTCAAATATGTATTTAATAACTCTTTGCAAAAAGTATTCAAATAGTTTTCTCTGAGCTTAAGCCTATTTTCTTATTCTGTTTACCAATGAACAATTACATGTATATTCTGAAATAATACGTATGTCATCAATTACAGATTCAAGTACTACAACAACAAGTACCTCCGTCCCGTGCTCACGCGCGAGCATGCTAATGCCGAGCCAAAAATCTTTGAAACCTATTCCAAACTGAATGTTGCAGATGCCATGAATTTAGTGAAGCAAAACTCATCTCTTTTACCTGGACCAAATGGCAACGATTTGGGCGTGTCCTTGTCTTCCTTATTCAGGACATATACTCAAGCACATTTGGACAAAAGGTATGTACTAATTCTACACTGTGAAGGAAAGAAATTATAAATTTGTGATGAATGTTCTTATCTTTCTGGATTACGCTTACAAATTCTAACGTCTACGTCACCCGAATACACAGTTTCTGACAAAAACAATAAGATAAATTCACTTAGAAAGAGTGTGAAAAAATTAATGAAGGAAATTTATATGACTTACGTAAAACTCGAATAAGGCAAAGTTACTTATAATAGCGCAAAAAAATGAATATAGGAAACTGATATTACTTACGTAAAACTCTCAATGCTCGCTTTGAAAATATTGATTGTTTTTCCTTCATTTGCTGTAAATACATTTCTTACTAACAACACAATGAGAAGCTATAGTGTGACTTTCCAAAAGCATCCTCTGAAATAAACGTTCATTACTCCAATTGTTTTTATAATTTTTTCCTTTATTTAATTTCATTTAACCTATGCCAAATAACTCAACACTAAAAAAGTAATATTCAGTAAAGTCCTGGTTCAGTTTTTCATAAAACAACCAACAAGTGTATCTAAATTTCTGCTCTACAAATGTTGGAACATAGTATATGTTGTTTCCTCTGATTAGAAAAAAATTAGATTCGTTTTCATTGTGTTGTTCACAATATGTTTCAGCATTTATATTTTAAAGCCCAGTACTCAGTATCAGTATAACACTGCAAATACTCCATAGAAACCGAGAACTTGAATTATAACAGCTCTAAAGCTTTATGTGGAATTGACGAAATGGTTAAAATGTTGTAATACTATATATTTCCTATTCTCATTTTCTTCGAAATCTCATTAATCTTTCCAGAGATACGCAAATTAAATTAATGTTAAATTAGGTAAACACCATACAGCATTTAGAGTAGCTTATACTGTTTATTGGTACCAACTTTGTGCAAATGATCTGTGCCTTTTGACCGGTTAGCTATTTCACTTTTAATCTTATTATAAGTGATAGTTTATTAAGCCGAAATTTATCTTTCATATACCATGAATTAGATATGTGGAAAAATATGTATGTAATGGCTAATGATTACTAATTTCTAAAAGAAAATTTTTGACTTCTTCGAGTTTCAGAAACATTTCAGTTGGTTAAATCAATAATTAATAATAATGTTTCAATTGCATATAAATTTGCAGACATATTTGTTTAAATATGATATCGGTTAAACTTGGTCTTATTCGATGACAAATAAAAGTAAAGGCATAGCTTTAGGGTCTAAACCACATCATTTAATAAAATACATACTGTCGTAATTTCCAAATTCCTGCTGCTTAGAAAATTTTATTCCTGCTGCTTAGAAAAACCTTCACTTGAATATTCCTCTCAGCGAAGCTTAACATTAGTCGTAGCATAAAAAATATCGAACTTTTAGAGACTCCAAGATGATCTGTAACTGAACACTGAAAGATCAATCGTGTATACAAAGGTATTAGTATTCATCCTGTAGCAATACGCCGATACCATTCTAATACATACCCTGCCAACTAGGCTGCCAAAAGCTGATAGCAAACAAAATATCTTCTGAATGGTTCTGAACCATAGAACATGACTGAATTTTAATGTTTATATACAGGTATAATACTCGAATCATCTGCAGTTCGATCACAAATGATAATTCCGCAATTCGAACGATTGATAGCATTTGAATGATCGCAGCGTTTCGCTGCTTCAACTAATCATCTCTTGTCTCATGTATCTGGGGCAATTGTTGACAAAGGGCCCGAGCCAGTGGTAAATAGTTAAGACCGCTGATTACTGGGGCCTGGGTTCGATCCCCGGTGAGCAAGTGGCTGAGCCGTTCGGTTTCTTTCGTTTTTCCATTTGTAACGTGAAGACGAACCACTTTCATACACAGTCAATCCTCCACGAAGCCTTCTCTCCCCATAAGTAGATAGTCCTTGTGGTCTTTGCTATGTCCAGATAACCTAGCTTTAGTGACAGTTGACAGTTGAGAGCAGAATCTGGACACCCGTGCGGCTTACTTAGATTATTCGGGTCTAGTCCAAGTTCCGCAACTATCCGGGGCAACACCTCATGGGCCCTATAAGGGCATACATTGATCCTGTATACATGCTTACATAGTTCATAGCATATGCTTATAGTTACATAGTTCATAATATATGCTTACATAGTTACATAGTTCATAATATATGCTTACATAGTTACATAGTTCATAATATATGCTTACATAGTTACATAGTTACATGCTTATATATAAGTAGTTTATAATACATAGATCTTTGATAATACGTGCTTACATAGTTCATACATGTACATTCCTACATAGTTCATACTTGCTTACATAGTTCATAATATATTGAGCCTGTTACATAATACATACATAGTTAATAATAATTTTCATTGGTCATAATGCATACATGTTTCATAATATATACAGTGGACCGTAATACATACATATTTCATAATATATACAGTTAAAAAAAGAAAAAAGAGAGAGAAGAGAGATTGACAGGGACTATTCCACACTGCACAAATCTGTTCCCAATTCCTCCACTTTCTGCATTATCGTGCATATTTTGATGCGAAATGCTGGCTGTTTGATCAGATAACGCTTATGAGAAATTGCCTGTTCCGGAAGCTGCACATGCTACTGTGTGATTAGAGGGCATTGAGTCAAGTAATGGTCTGGTTTACCAATGCCTCCACAGAGTGACAGCGGATATGACATGATCTGCTCCTTCAAAGGTGTATCTTCCTCTGTCACTCCAAATGGTAGTTTATCAAAGCATCTTTCACGCCGGCGCTTACAAGCATCACTACAAAACTGTATTTAATGTTAGAGCTTGCATTTGCTAGCCATATTGTGATATATTATTTTGCCTTACTAAAGGTAACATGTTTGTAATATGTAACGGTAACATATTTATGAAGGAATGCTTATATTCGGATCATGCATTTCCTTTTGGTTTGTTCACCTACATATGGGAAAAGCAAATAATGTTGCGCAGTTTGTTCTTATCCATTTAATTTGATACTTCAAGCAGCTGACGAATTTGCATTACTAAATGGCGTCGTCTTGAGGAATATTCATTGCTAGTCGCTATAACTGTCACATTCCTTGAACCTCCTAGGTTTTCTTCACTTTTGATGAAAGACAGCTCCTTATGATTGAAAACTGAGTATTTATCATATTTATAGCTATGTCACAGCCCTTATAGCATTGTTTTACTGGTTCATTTCTTATATTTCTGATTTCATGTTCTACATAAAATGCGTTGTGAACAAAACGAATCCATAAAATATAAATAAATTGACCTGAAGTTGAATAAACGGTACAAAAACTATCTGAGAAATGCAATAAACAGAAAGAAAGGTCTACAATAATGACAAATCCAATCAGAAAATGCATCCATATAACAAATGTTACAGTAGATAAAGTCTAATAAAATGTTTTTACATTGCAATGTCATAAAAATGCCATCAAAATATTAATTGTTGTAATAAACCTGTTTTTTTTTACAATTGGTAATAAAAGGAACAACGCTTGTAACTGTTTTTCCTCAAATGTATAGTGTATATTTTCTGCCTGTGCAGTTTTCTAAATAGGCAGCATCAGCAGCGACAAATTTGTTCCACTCATTTTTATTTAAATTTTTTTTGTATCACATCAAGAGAATTCAGTCAGCTATTTCATTAATGAGGCTCGGTGGCGCAGTGGCTAGTGCATCGCGCAGCAGCGCCACAGGTACGGGGTTCGAACCCCGGGCTGGGCAAGGTCACCTCAGCCTTTCATCCCTTGATTTCCATCCCTTGGGTCGGTAAAATGAGTACCAAGTTCGCTTGGGTACCAAACACCAGGGTTCCTGCGACAAGTCGACCACTTGTTCAGGGCATATGCTTACGAATCCCGGGGCCCACGGTCAAGAAAGCAGATTTCAGAGCACTACAGGTCTTGGCCCATTAGGACTGTTTGCGCCACTGAGTTTAGTTTTTTTTTATTATTTTAAAACATGTGAGCAACTCTAAAGTCCTCTAGTCCTTTAATGATTATTTCATTTTTAAAAGAAATAAAAATCTGTATACCAGTCTTTCATTTAGAATATTATGTATATCTGCATCTAATATCGCAAATTTCATTTAAACGCTTTCGAAGTTTTATTTAAGAATGCATATTTTAAGGCACATATTGATGTTTTATTAAATAACCTATATAAATATATTTTCCCCAAGCGTATACAGTAGTATCTAAGTAATATACAAAATTAAATTATATTTTGCTTTTATAGCTGAGGGCTGTTTACACTACGCCGACAATCAATAAGCTATAATTTAATGAAAATTCTTCTTTGTATGGGAATCTTTTATGAATAGCTCAAATTTTCATATCAGATAAAAATCGACAATTTTTGAATTATATCAAGCAAACGTATGATACCGTGTAATAACAATGCCGTCAGAGCGAAATGATCTTTTCATTTCAAGATAACTTTTTCGGAAGTACATTATTGTATTCAGTAAGTAACTGTGATAACATAAATAAAAATTAATTTTATTGAAATTTTACCTAATGCAGCAGTTTGGAATATCAGTATTTTTGTTATCTATTTAAAATTAGAAATGAAACCAAATTTTTACATGAAGAAGCAACTGCTCGAAAAGTAGTATTTTTGAGTAGCTATTTTGAACTGATAATTGAATTAGTCTGATTGAACGTACATCGCGTTACGCCTTCAAAAGGCATAAGTACTGTCATTAACAACGCAACTCTTTTTAATAATACCATTACAAGAAACAAGATACAGATTTTCCATGAAACGAAATGACAAATTGCCGAATGTATATTAGAAAACGTTTTCGAGAGCAAAAACAAGTCTACTCACAATCAAACATCAAAATAATGCTTATGTGCTACGAGAGCAAACGCATTCCATATGAAACATATACACCCTGTTTACGATATATCATGTACGCATTTTGGTGTCCGAAAGTGCACATCTAAAAGTAAATTAGTATAGAGGCATATATGAATTGC